AACCAATGTCATAAAACAACATGTGTACTACTGTTTCATGAGAAACTATTTGTTCTGTAAGCCTTCACCTGAAGTACAACTAAAAAAAAAAAAAATCAGCCATTGAAAACCCCATGGAGCACAGTTCTACTCTGACACATGGGATTACTATGAATTGGCATACATTCTGTGGCAATTTTTTTTTCTTATGCATGTACCTAGGGGCTCCCCCATTTCGGTTCACTCCAGTATCAGCCTAGTGGCAGGGCCTTCCTAGGAAGAGTGCAACGTTCTGGGTTTGCATCTTTTTCCAAATTATCTCACCACCTTTAACATATATTCAATGCATTCTAAGCAAACACCCCCACTGTCCCCCTTCCTCCTGCCCCTGGTAACCACTAATTACTTGTGGTTTCTAAATAATGCTTATTTCACGTAAGTGATAACATATTTTTTGTGTCTGATTTATTTCACTCAGCATAATGTCCTCTAAGTTTATGCATGCCGTGGTATGCATCAGTACTTCCTTCCTCTTTATAACAGTAATAGTCTAATGTACGTATATACTACGTCTTGTTTATCCATTCATCAGCTAATGGATATTTCCGTTGTTTCTATTTTTTGGCACTTTTTTTAATAGTACTGCAATGAACATTGGTGTACATGTGCCTGTTTGCATCATGGCTTAACAGTGCCTATCAATAGCTGGATTAAAGTGACAGTTCAGACAATTAAAGTCGCTTTGATACAAGTAATTCACATAAGACTGTCTACAGAGTTTGTCCTGGAGAAATCCTGCCTAATTATATGGCTTCTTGGGACTCTAATTAGCCTAATCTAGGTTTTTTTAGTCAAAGATTATATCAGAATCTTCAACAAACCCACTGTAGCACTATTAACATTGAAACCTTGTAAAAGCCCAGTATATGCAATTCTATACAGTCCCTGGAAGAGAAATGCAGCAGTTTTGCTTATTCAGGAGAATTTACTGCCTTCATTTTGGATCTATGAATAAAACTAAAATCTGAAAGGTATGATACCACTTCTCTTAATAAAAGGATATAGTATCAGTTAAGAGTGCATTCAACTGCAAGTAACTAAAAATCTAACATTAGCTTAAACAATGAGGGCTTTATCTCACAGAGAAGTAAGTCTGAGGTTGGCAGTGCGGGGCAGGGACAATGCTAACACGAACTCATCCAGGACCCAGGTTCTTTCTGATTTTCTGCTCTGCCGTTCTTGGCATATGGTTTTATTACCTTCATTCCACTTCTAGGCCTC